GGCCCGAGCCCCGGTGGGCGGCGGGACACGCTGTCAGGCCGGTCGCGCCGCCCCTGCGCCTCGTCCCTCGGTCCGCGCTCGGCGTCTCAGCCGGCGCCTCTCGTCGCTCCTTTGCTCGGACCTCGCTCTCTCCCTTCTCGCCCTGGGTGTCTCTGTCTTGCGGTCTCTCTCGCTGTCTCTGTCTCTGTTCCTTCAAGCTGACAAGCCACTGGAGGGCGCCTCACGCCCGTGGATGCCTCCGGGGTCCCCTCCTGGCTGCTGCTTGGTGCCCCACTCGGGGCAGACCGAATCCCCAGCACTCTGGTACAGAGAGGACGTGGCAAAGCCCCTTCTGCTCCCGCAAAGCCCTCCTCTCCCCTAGCTGGCCCCCGCCAAGAGCAGGGCTGAGCAGGTGTCAGAAGAGCGAAGTTGGATGCTTTGTTTTTTAATCAAGCTGCTTTATTCTTTTGTGGTAGGAGTCCCCAGGCCCATAGAAGCCACCTCTCCTCTGCCCCCTCCCACCCTCTCCGGCAGCTCCCTTTCTCCAGAGTCAACCCTTTGCGCGTGGACAGGAGCCTGTCTGCAAAAGACCCTGTGCGTGAGAATCTTTCCTCTTCACTGTGGCCTCCACGGTCGCTGTGAAGCAAAGGAATGTTGTTTATCCGGGGAGGGAGAGGGACTGGGGAGCCATCCACCCGTCTGCCGCAGGGGCAGGAGGCTGTGAGCCTTCCCTTCTCCGAGCTCCCCAAATCGCCAGCACTGGGTCCCCTGGTGCCTGATCAGTTGACACGGCAGGTGGCCCAAGCCCTCCCTGCTACTGCTCAGGGGCCCTGGCAGCCGCACCTGCTCACCCTCGGAGTCTAGATGTAGTAGAGAGGCACCTCTCCGCACAGGGTGCGCACGGCGAGCCCCAGGAAAGCCAGGTCTTCTCCCGGGGAGGCTGGAGAGCCCTCTTCCCGTCCCTCCTCCTGGCCCAGCTTAGAGCCAGCTGCAGTGGGCTTGCCCTGGAAAGAGCACCGAAGCTGGAGCCTGAGTTTCTGCCTCTCCTGCAGCCCTTATTGTGAGACACACATCACCCGACCTCTGTGAGCCTCAGTGTCCTCACCAATGCTGTGCTGGAATCAGAAGCCACAGGTGGTATGGGAGGGTGTGGCACAAGTCAGTGCAAAGCAGGCACTCACCTGGCAGGCCCTAAGAAGCAGTACTTTGCAGATGACAAAGAGCCATCATCTCAACCACTCCGCACCCCTGGAAGCCCACTCCTTTCACCCACACACCCACCTGTAAGTTCTGGAATTTTCTAGCAAGAGCCTCAAGACTAGGGATGCTCTCCGGAGCCATCCTCATGATGTAGCAGCAGGTTCCCGGGGCAGGTTTATAGGCAGTCAGGAGCTGGGCATGGAATGCAAGAGGTCATTCTGGGAGGCCCCCTAACCTGGTCCTCAGCCAGCTGTCTAAGTTGGGCATGGAGTCACATTAGAATGTGGATTCGGGCAGCCTGGGTGAGCCAAAAGGGCTAAGGGATGGGGACAGATGGGTGCGGTGAAGTGGTCCAGCTGGGTACCTCTAAGAAGGTCTTGTCATTAGTCCCCCAAGTCAGAAGGTCCAGGCATACCCACCCGCTGGTAGTCATACACAACCATGCCAGTGGAGCTGATGGAGAAGGTGGCAGTGGTACCCATGAGTTCACTCAGGGCCAGGCGTTGCTGAGCTTCCGGTGCCCCAATGCTCATCTCGAGAACCTGGGCGGGGGCAGAGTGGTACCTGGTAGTCCTCTTTGCCCTCTCAGCCTTTCTGCCCCTGTGCCCACCCTCGTCTCCTTTAGTTAAATGGAATTTCTTCTTTCCTGAGAGCTCAGAGAGGTGAGCAGAACCAGGTGCTGGAGAGAATGGGCTGTCACATTGTGGAGCAGGTTTGCCATGCTATTCCTGCCCCTGTCCTCCCAAGCTATGGAATGGAGTAGTCTCTGCCATTCCCCTGGGTGATTTCCTCCTGCCCAGCCCTCCCAGCCCCTCCCGTGCCCACTGCCCACCCCATCCCAGGCCTGCTCACCATCTCAGTGTGTTTCTGGCTCATGTGAAGACCCATGAGCAGGGCCCCTACAATCACCACCACCACAAGGACCACCACCACAACCACGATGAGAAGGCGTTTGAGGTGCACCGGGCAGCAGGGGATGCGGAACTGGCCCCGGGGAGCTGCTGAGTAGTCCTAAAGAGGTGGGGCAGCCAGAGAGACAAGCATGAGGCCCATCCCATCCAGCCCCACTATGTGGCCTCCCCTTGCCCACTGCCCACCTGCTCCCGTCCCTGTACAAGCTGGACACTCCCACCTCCTCTTAGGGTTATACAGCCAACGTTACGGATTTGTAGAGGGAGGCTCAGGAGATCAGAGAAGGCTTCTTGGAGGGCGTGGCCTGTATTCCAACAAGCCCATAGATACTTAGAAGCGAGGTCCTTGGTGTCCCCATCCTAACTTAGTCCAATCCTAGGCTAGTTGGGTGAATAAAACTGGCTAAGGAAACAGGTCCAGGGAAGAAGGAGGAGGCAAGGCCCAGTATCTGCACACATGCGTGCACGCACACACGCAACCACACTCACCGGTGGGCTCTCCATCAAGACCTCTTTGCTGCCCATGTCCATCTTGCCGTAGGCTCACTCCTCTCTGCATCCTCCAGGTGTGACCAGGATCTTATATGTGCCCGCAGGGAGGGGACAGAGGTGAAGGACCAGGTCTCCTGTGTGCCAGCCAAGCCATCGGCTTTGAAGACTGTTTGTTCCTGGCTCTCCAGAGCCAAGGCCCTGATAAGCCAGATGCAAGAGCCCCCAAGGGCCCTTGGCCTTGGCACCTGAGTCCTCTTGGCCCCAGCAAGAGCAAAGCTGGGTGAGCTGAGTAAACTTGCCCTTAGGCCACCTGCAGCCCTCACTGTGGGTGTCTTCCTGGTGTGCCTGCCTTTCTTGCTGGCACCTGCCCTGCAGCCCTGTGGCTTCATTCTTCTCCTGCCAGGCCAAACCTCTCAGGCAGCCAAGGGTCTGACCGTCCCATTCCCAACAGAATGTCCCCAAGCTCAAGGGTGAACTCCAGGAGGAAGGCAGAGGAGCAGTGGCTGTAGAAGCAGAGAAGGCTCAGCAAAGGCAGAAGGGACATTGACATCACTTGGAAGGGGTCAGATTCCTCTTTACCTTACCTCACTTCTCCCCGCATGGCCCTAACCTAACCTCAGACTCTCTGTCTGTCATTCTCCAAAATCTGGAAGCTCTGCCCTGCTGGGAGGAAGCTTACTCAAAGGTGGACGGTGTTTCATTCTTTGCTCTGGGCTTGTCTGTACACTGAGGATTCTACTGGTAGATTCCTGACACCACTTTCTTAGGCTGGGACAGCCTGGCACAGGGCTGGGTGTGGTCCCATTCTTCTTGCCCTTAGATCAGCCTACTCACTCCCTGCCTTCCTGTCACCCTTCCCTTCCGCACTTCTTAAAACCCTCAGATCCTAGCTGTCCCCCCTGTCTCTGCCTCACCTCTTTCACCAAAGCCAGCTCTCTGTGCTCTAAGTCAAATATGTGGTTTGGCTGTGCCCTTTCTCTGGGGCTCCTTGTCACTTGCTGAGCCAGGTAGTCTATAAAGTCCCATCCCCTTTAAACATTCAGGAGTGTGTGAGCCAGAGCTGCCCTCACCTCCCTCTCTTGGCTGGATTCCCTTGTCCTTGGAGGAAGCCATCCCTTTTTATCCCCAGGGACTGGTTCCAGCCACCACCTTCCCCACTGGATACAAAATCTATAGATGCTCAAGTCCCTTATATGAACAAGCAGGGAGTATTTACATACAACCTGCTTTGAATCATCTCTAGATGACTTATAATACTTAATACAATGTAAATGATATGTAAATAGTCATTATACTGTCTTGTGTGGGGAATCCACGACAAGGAAAAAAGTCTGTACATGTTCAGTACAGACGCAATTTTTTCCCCCAAATACTTTCCATGTATTTTTGGCTGAATTGGCAGATGCAAAACCCATGGATACAGAGAGCCAGCTGTACTTTAACTCTAAAATGTCACCCCAATCCCTACCCTCAGCCCCGGGCTCCTCACACCTTGTCCCTGCCCTTTGATCGTGAGCCAGCCCCCACCGCTCCAGCCCTGGCAGGCTCTCCTGTCCCATCAGGACTCTCTCCAGCTGGAGGTCCTCAGCCTCAAGGTTGTACAACAGCCTGGCCTCTGAGCTGGGAGGCCCTGAAAAGCTCAGAGGAGGAGAGAGGGAAGGAAATATTTGCTCCCACCACCCTCCTTGGCCCCCCTAACTGCCCCTTTAAATATTTGCCAAAGCCTCCAGCAGAGGAAAGAGTGTCCCAGGATGAGTGGAAGGAGGGGAGGGGTGCAGGAAGGAGGGGGAGGGGAGCAAGCATCCGCCTCTGGGCTCGGCCTCAGCTGTGTGCAGGTGCCAGATGTAGAAGACAGCCCGCCCACCCGCACTGCCCCCTGCCCGCCCCCAGCTCCCTCCCCCATTCCCGGTTGTCCTGGCAACCTTGGGATTGATGGCTGACTCACAGTACTGGGCCTGAGCCAGGTGGGCAGCTGGCCAGTGGGAGAGCCAAGGAGAATCACAGGCATCGCGGGGTCCCCATGGGCATCTCAGGGGGCCGCAGTGTGAGCTGTGGGGCTTGCCCTGAACAGGTGTCATGAGTTGCGATTGCCATCGCGGCGGTGCAGGAAGGGAGCTCTGTTCTCCCTCTGGTCTTCAGTCTCCCCTGCAGGCTGCAGCTTTCCAGGCTTTATGGTTGCTGCTGCTGCTTTTTTTAAAAATTTTCTTTGCTTGAGGGCTGGAGAAGGGTGCCATTAGGTTTCATCAATGTTCAGATGCTGGCACCACTTGGCAGAGACCTTGGGCTCCTTGGAGGAGGAAGAGAACCCATTGGGGGGGTCACAAACAGCCCTCCTCCTTTCCCTCAGCCCAGCCCTCTGCTGCAGCCTTCTTGTCACTTCTGGGCCTTCATTATATCATTTCTCTCTGAATACCACCCACCCTAAAAAGCTGAGAGCCCCGGCACCTGCTCCATGACCTCACCACCCCGGCCTCCAGTGCCCTCCGCCTCCTCTCTACTCCCTGCTGTGCACTCACATGCCAGTTAGCACACACGGATGTTTGGATCAGCTCTGTGGGGGCTTTTGGCTGCCCCGGCTTCTCAGCCCTGCTGCCATCGTGGGAGGGAAAGGAGTGTGCTCTCCTGGTGCTTCCACGAGCCTGCCACAGGGCAAGGAGCACGCACGCAGCCCACGCATAGTTATATTCAGTGACAAGACTGACGCTAAACAGGCGTGGACTCCTGCAGGGTGCTATGTGGAGGTCTCAGTGCTTCCACTGGCGGCTCTGGGCCCCAGAGGGAGTCATTCTGCTTTCCTGTGTTTTAGTATGTTCATCTGTGACACGGAACCACTATCTCTGACTCATCCACTTCCCTAAGCTATAGTGAGGCTCCAATGACACCACGATGTGAAAGTTCCGGCCTCATTATTATCAGCACTTACCCTAACCCCCTGGGCTCCTCTCACTAGCTAAGCGGAGGACACCCTTTGATCTTTCTTCCCGTTACCCTCTCTGAGAACTGTGGGGCATAGAAAGCCCCACGATAGCCACCCCTCCTGTGTCTCCTTTTCCTCCTCCTCAGCTGCACGGGTTGGGATGAGATTCACTCTGCTCTTTGTGTGCCAGGCAGAGCTGTGCCAGGAACGGGTGGGGACCATTGCCCAGATGCCCTCCCTGGCCACTCTCCCTACCCCCACTGCTCCCCTTCCCTTGAGCTGGCAGCACAGGCAGCTGGATGGGCAGTGGCAAGTGGGCATCAATCAGCAGGGGCATCCCTGGCTGGGAGAACTGGACTCACGCTCAGAGCAGAGACTCCCTGCTACCAGACGCTGGGGACAATGCAGATGCATCTTAAGCCTAGCAGTCTCACTGTCCTGGACAAATGAGGACAAGTAGAACCAGTGTGAATGGAGCACAAGACTAGAAGCCCAGTACTGAGTTCCAGGCTCCCTTTGTCCCACACCCATAGCTCTTGGGACAGTCCTCCCTGCGACCCACCACCCAGAAATGACAAAATACAGAGTAGCAATTCTCAAATGACTTGTTCTTGGGACCTCTTAATGCTCCTAAGAAGTACTGAGTTCCCAAATAACTTTTGTTTATGCAGGTTAAATCTATTGATATTTACCAGATTGGTACTTACTAAGACGTTTAAAAAATATTTATTTATATAGACCCAGGTGTGGTGGTGCACACCTGTCATCCTAGCATTCTGGGAGGCTGAGGCAGGAAGATTGAAAGTCCCAGGGGCTGGGGATTTAGCTCAGCAGCAAAGCACCTGCCTGGCAAGCACAAGGTCGTGAGTTCGGTTCCCAGTACCGGAGAAAAACCAAAAAGACAAAACAAAACAAAACAAAACAAAACAAAACAAAACAAAGAAAGTCCCAGACCAGCCTGGGCAATTTAGCAACTTACCAAGACCCTGTCTCAAAAGAAAAAAGAAGAAAAGGGGAGAGAACTGATGATATAGCAACTCAGCTCCAAGATTCAGCCCCCAGTACAGATATGTATACATACAAAACAAATCTATTATGTGTTATAGTGTCAACCACATACATTTTAAAATAAGAACAGCCAGGCACAGTGTTACACATCTGTAACCCCAGCACTCTGGAAGCTATGACATGAGAATGGGAGGTCAAGATCAGCCCGGGCTACATAGCATATCCCTTTCTCAAACAAATAAACATGAAAACAGCTGTATTTCTCTGCCAAGAAGTTAGGAAAAAGTGCCACTGTTTTACAGTTTTTGCAAATCTCTTTTACTTTCAGGCTTAGTAAAAGACAAACCATGTAGCCTCTGGAAAACTCCCAGGGTATTTTTGTGAGAGCTCAAAAGTGAACAGGCAGATAATGCCCTCATATTAGAAAAAGTATTTTGACCTTGCAAGGTCTTCCAGGGTTCCCTGGCAGGCAGTGACTGCTGTGAACTTCAAGTTGGACTTCTCGTCCTGGGGCCTCACTTTGCTTATCTGTAAAAGGGAGTTACGATCATTTCTCCCAAAAGGGCAGGGGGTTAACTCTGCCCGTTACAGCGCACAGCGCAGACAGTAAGCGTGCCTGCTTTCCTCTTTTGGAGGCCTCAGTTTCTTCTGTTGCAGAACAAAGGGAGGGACTGGAACACATCCAGGGCGGTTCCTAGCTCCAACAGGCTTCGGCTGCACAGTGAGAACTGGTCCAGAATCCCACACGTTCTAGTGCATGTCCCTTTTCAGCTCCCAGACACAAAGGCACATTCTGTTTGGTGGCCGTGGAAACACACGGGGACAGATAGAAGCACCCTTGAGCTTCCAAGATGTACCTGTGTCATTTGACATGTCCCCTCGCAGCCAAGTGCAGGGAGGCATAGGGTCCGTGCGCCCCGCGCAGAGACAGGTGTGCCCACGCGCACCAGTCATCCCAACGCGCGGATGCGCTTGGACGCGCGCACACCGTGCATTCGGCTCCTCCGAGCTCCGGGACCGATACAAGGCAGATAGATGGCGGCCGGGG